CCCCAAAACCCCAAAACCCCAAAACCCCAAAACCCCAATTTTCATGAAAAATATTGGCCTTAAAATCTAATTAAACATAATATAGTCCCTATTCTCTTGTGTTTAGTCTACTTTTCTGTTTAGCCTTTGTGTCTACAATAATTTTTGAATTACTAGTAAAAGTTAGACAAAATATTATACCTGTTCTTTAGATTATCTGATCAAATACTTCCATTTCTAGAGTCTATTACTTCCACTTGCTTTTCAACTCTAAAATTAAGCACTTCCTTTGAGTAAAGCCCTACCTTGCTGCAGTAATGTGTTGGCTGTGGCTTGACTCGTTCATGTACTCTCTTGAGCCCATCAGTCTCTTCTTTATCTCTCTAGTTTTATGCTTCTTCCTGTATCGATCCATCAATTTATTTCCTATAGACTGGAACAGTTTTATCGTAACTTTCATGGTTAGATATTCTAGGTTTAGTGGTTATCTTCCTGATAATTTCCTTCATCTCCTGTTGCTTTATAGAGGAAACTTTTGGTCTGTAAGACTCTGAGATAATTCTTGCATATAACTTCATTTTTTGTCTACAATTAGAAACGTAATTACCTTTTCTCAGCTCTTGAAGCCTCTTCTTCGAGGTAAGAAGCTCGCTCCTTCAACTGCTGTGCAAGGTTCATTTTGTATTTATTTAGAAGAAATGATTTTAGGGTAGGCTTGCAACTTCTTCCGATCCCTTTTCAGCTTCTTTTGGCTATTCTCAAGATCAGTAAGGTACTTCCTAGAAGGGATTAGTTGTTGAGATAAGTACTTTTTATGAAGAGCGATGTCATTTCTGCTAATTGGCTTCATAAACTCCCTTCTTTTCTTCAAAATATCTCGACTTTTATTAATCTCAGGGATAACAAATTTCTGTTGATAATCCATTTCTAGTCTTTCAAAAAGAGGTTTGCTTTGAGAGAAGTTGAGTTTTGTCGTGAGTGAGCTATCACTTTGTGCTCTACATTGCTTCTCTTCTTTGCTCTTCTCTAATCGTTCGATAATTCTCTCCCTAGATATCAACTATGAAGTATACCTTCTAAGTAATTTGTCCTTCTCTCTTTGGATTTCTTTCTGTTTGATTCTAGCTTCATCCTCTTGAATCTCTTTCTCAATTTTTAACTTTTGTTTGTGCCACATTTTGTTTCGAACTTTACGGATTTCCTTGGATTTATTTCCGAATCTCTTCGAACGACATTTGTAGCTGGCTCTGTGAGTTATTCGGTTTAGAAGATTTCTCAGCAGAAATGTTCAAGCTAGGCAAAGAGGAGGATGAGGCTGCATTCTTTCCACTTTCTCAGTTTCTATTGTAATTGGTGTCTATTTGATTTTAAAATGTGCTTACAATCAATATATGGCAACTGGGGGTTAAACAAATCTCATTTCTTGTTAGACGAAATAGGAGCAGCTTTCTCTGTTGAGGTATTGGTCTGGCTCAATGTCTTCACAACGTTTTTAAATGAATTATCCTGAACTTTTATTTTAATCAGCTCCTTTCTTATTCATTCCTGGTTGTAGTTTTGCTTTAAGGAGTCAAGATAAGTTTGAAAATTAGTGCTGTTTGTAACTGAAAAGGGAAGTTTCCCAGCCATAATTCTGCTGATTACATTTTGCTCCGGAAAACTTGTCAACTCAGATCATACATCTGGTGTGCTTTTGATAATATTCACATTGCCATTAATAAGAGGTTCTGACTCAAGAATGATGTTATTTAAGATTATTCCTAAAAACTCTTTTTCTAATGATTTCTTTCTTTTCTTCTGGCTTTAATGTTATAAGCTGAGAAACTTTTGGTACTTCTGGAGTAGAATCAACTGACTTTTTCTTCTCAGTAATATTTTTCATTTTGGCTAATATAAATTTTTTATATAAAATACGGGGTTTTGGGGTTTTGGGGTTTTGGGGTTTTGGGG